CTCGTCCTGTGCAGCTTGGCATTTTATGTTTTGATGGCGCAATAAAGCGTCATAAAGTAGCCGTAAAACGCATCGAGTCACACACAAGACTGTGAGCGGCAGTCAGCTGATGCCGTTAAGTGGACCCGTCTGTATGGGATACGTAACAGTATGTGGTCTGCAAAAGTTGCATTGCAATATTTGCAGAAAAGGAACGATTGATTTGCTGCCGACATCTCTTTACTTTTCAAACGCTCATGATCACAATGATATTGAACTTGTCTATTCTAAATTCGTAATCGGTTAATAAAAATTAAAAATATTTGTGTACACATATATTTCTTGCGTTTGAAATGTAATAGAAATATCCTGCATAACATTTGTATTATTTCATGGATATACAATTTAAAAAAAAAGATTGTTACGAACGATTGTTTGAATGGTTATTATTATACTCTAGCAAGAGTACCGAAAAAGTCACTGAAAATATTTACGTATTTGTGGGTGTGACATAAAATGAAAAACATAGCCCACCTACATCAAACAAAAATAAAACAAAAATATAATTGGTATTCAAGAATATTATTCAATCTGAGTCCTTGATTATCAAAATATCACCAAATTTTTTTCAAAAGTTTATAATTATAGAATATTATAATATAATAATGATGCATTAAATTTTGGTACTTAATCAAAAAAGATAATTAATACAACACTAAAAATAAGAAACAAATTAGTTCTATGGTACAGTTTTATAAATATCTTTTTCTTGTACGTACTATTTAATAGTAGAAGAAATTCAAACAGCTCTAATGGTAATACAGATACGTATCAGCTACATGTAACAACTGTAGCATTTGATAGTTTTTACGTTTTTTTCAACTTCAAGTTATCTTAATATTTATGCTAATTTCCAGGTTGAAGTATTTAGTTCTTTTCAATTTTATACTTTTCAATTCATTTTATATTATCGAAACAACTTCAATATAATATAATGTCAAGCAATCATTGAACTTTGTGATAATTCATTCAATGGTGACAAGTCATCGTAATGTATTTTTTTGTGAATTGAAAAAATTATCAGCTAAAAATAAGCGGTTGAAATACGTACAAAAAGATTACAAAATAACGGGACAAATAGTGAAGCTTGAATGTTTCTCAGTTAGATGGCAGCAGTGTACATCAGATCGTCAGCTATCCTAGCTTCATCTGGGGTTCGCAGTGCTGGCTTAAAACGCAGGCATCCAAGTATGCCGAGCAAAGACCACCGCCCATACTATTATTGACTAATTTTTTTCTTTAATTTTATCACATGCTTATAACGCCACATGTATATAAGGTAAATTTCGTCGCGCTAAATTTCAAATTTGCAAATATAGCGGTTTTGCAATATAAGATTTTTCGCTCACTCAAAAATTCAATTTATTCCTAGGAGTGTTGAGATATAGAATTGAAAGAAAATTTTATTGTTATATCTTTCGCTTTGTTTGACCAACAAACCCTGAAAACTAGTTGTACAAGAGAAGTAAAAGTACATTAAAAGAATTTTTTTGCTATTTCATTTTTCCTTGTAACGATGTACTATCAATTATTTTCAAAACGTGTTAATTTTACTGCAATTATCTGTAAATAATACTGGCCATTAGATGATACGACGATGCTATTGAGCGACGCGTCAGTTATCTAAATGTACTAAATAAGCAAAATTATTGTCGTCAATGTTAAAATAATTAAAAATAGGCATATAAGATACCGCTATACGAGTTAAAATGGCTCATAATTGTCATGAAAAGGAATACTGAGCAGATACTGCAGGTAGGCAGTATCACAATTTTAATTTTTATTTCGTGACCTCGGAACGACATCGCATGACGAAATGATGCATTAATTTTGATGAAAATGCCGTGTGTATACTCACACGAACGGGCGTGAAATCTATATGGAATTGATTAACTTTAACATTATGAAATTGCTAATGAAATTCTTCACGCGGCTAAAATGCCTAAATGGATTGAGGCACGATGGGTGTTCTAAGCGAGCGATGAAACGCACGTGCATTGCAGCGCACTTGTACGTAGTAGATATACAGTGTCGCAGCACGAGGAGACCACCTAGACTCGGGAGTATCGATCGATAAGCGTAAGGTGTCGTCGGTCACGTATGTGTACTACTGTTATATGCCAGCCAAGCAATACGTTAACTAGGATCGACTTGGGTGGTACGACGCTGCACGTATCGCGCAAAAATCGCACGAGAATCAACGTTTTCCGACCCTTTAATTCGAAATTCGACTGATCGATGAAAAAAAATTTGAGCGGCAGCTCGTACAAGTCCTCATTGATGCTCGTTGTAAATAATTTATTGCGTGTACCTATATCGTGTTGATTGCAACAATGTAGGTCCTCGAGTATTATTGAACTTTTTAATTTTAAATACTGGATGACGCGCGAAGTGAGCACTGCGACAGAACACATTTTTGACAATGAAATACAAACATTTGAGGCTCTTTTTCTAGACTTACTTCCCATATTTATGGTAACGCTCTTTATAGATGACCGTTTAAATGATTCTAAGCATCCTGCGAACCGAGAAATTTATTTTCTCGGTCAGAGATTTACACGTACCTAGTAGAATCACAAATTTTTATAATGGCTACTAAAGAGATGAGATACGAGGTCTTTTTTTCATTGTGAAACGGAGTTCATGGACTTATACGTACATTAGAAGCGAGCTCACGCGGCGCTCGAAAAAAAAAATTGTGTCCAAACCACTCAAATGGATGCGGTTTCGAGAACGATTTTCCATTCATAATGTATGAAAGAGTCGCAAGAGATTTTCGATCTCTTCAAGGGTGAACAAACTATGTTGACAAACGATACTTTGCGAATGAAGGGATGATTATTCTCAATACGTTTACCATGTATATTTTTGTTTGTTACTCATAATAAATGGTTAAAGAAGTATTTGCCATGATGGGTCAAAACCACGCCTTGAAATTTTTTTGGGCCTCGCTATCATTTTCCTAATTCAAGGATATAAAATATGAAATCATTATAATTTCTATTGAGTTTTATTTACAAATGGTTTAAAATAATGCAAATGTGTGATGTTCAAATTAATGTTGAATTCAGATTAAGAATAAAACGTATTTTTTTGTTTCAGGATCAGAAAAATTCGGTAAGTGGTGATTTACTGCAATTTACTTTTAGAGAATACTAAATTTCCATCGAATCTTCTATCCCATTCTTTTACATACATAGGTGAGTGTTTTAACTCTCATAAGCTCAACCAAAAAGTTCACGCTACAATAAAAATTTTCGCACATACCCTAACACATCAACCGCCTAAAGCTCTCGTAAATGCATCTCATATTCTTTATCAGCACTTTGCACTGCTGTTTCACCTGCGATTATTTTTCCTGACTAAACTAACCCCCTTCGTGCGATAAACGACTGTAGAGACAGATATTCGCATGTAAAAGCTCGAATATAAGATGAAAAATATTTTCATTTGGCAATCGACGCTATTCTTGATGCTGGCAGACAGTGCCAAGTGACGTTTACAGCAGTATAATGGCAACGAACGGGCTTTTACTCGGGCATGTTTACAATGCTCGGCTATGCGTGAGCCAGTGTTTGGGTGCGCACAATAAAATCAACAAAAATGCTCATTTACGGGGTAGTGCTACAATGTTGCTACCGTAGCCGAGTTGACTTTTTCCGGCATCAGCAGCAGCAGCAGCGCGCGTGCGGTTGTGCGGACGAGACAGAAACCATACGCATATTCGAGGGAAAAAGCAGAGAACGCGCGAGGCAACGATGATCCTTAGCCTGGCGTTGCTGCTGCTGCTCTCGTCCGATGATCTCGCTCTGCTGGCTCCGGCCCGAACACAGAGAGCAAAAGAAACGAACGAAGAGCGACACGAGTCGCCGAGGTCACTGTACAGAAGAGAGAAACGGAGAATCGCGTTGATATCGCGTGTATGGACGCTCGTACACGCGCACACAAGCGCAAAGCTCCTATATGTAGAGTCGGAGTCGACAAGTTGGGCGAGCGAAAGAGACGGTCGATACTCGCTCGAGCTCGCAGAGCAGCACAGTGTGAGATGGAAAGAGAAAGAGAGCGAGAGAAACGAGACGCCAACACAGGCAGAGAGAGACGCACGGAGGCAAAGCTCGACAGCTTAGGCAGAAAGAGAGAGAGAGAGAGAGCAGAGTTTCTCATTCATCTTGGCGCGACGCGGTACAAGCTCATGGATTGGTCGTGGCTGGGCTCGCTCGACGACTCGATTGGCCGGCCGTGTTTACCAGCTGGTATAGCTGACACGCGCGGTAGAAGGGGGGCTCGAAAACGCACGCCAGAGACGTGTATATACGGAACGGAAAAAGGAGGGAGCCCCCGAGCGCGCATGGGAGTTGCGGAAAGTACGGAGCGTAGCAGCCGAATGCGAGAGAGCCAAAGTCAGCGGCGCAAACTCTCGCACACACTTACGTACACATGCAGGCGAGCTCGCTCCATACATACACGTACTTTTGCTGCACGTACACACACACGTATAGCGCTGCCATTATTGTAAGGGGTTATAAGCGAGCGAGCCCGTGAGCGAGACAGAGCCAGAGATAGAGCCCAGAGTATTAGTCGTATAATCGCGTCTCTTTCTCTCTCTCTCTCTCTCTGGTTCTGGGCTTGCGCTCGTGTCGGCGCGCCCGAATGTGTGAGTGTGCTTTCGCACACAGTGGTGGTAAGCGCGCACACGTGTACTCCTCTGCTGCCCGACGCCGCGATACACAGTCGCAACGGGCAACACACGTACACTTGGCTCTTGGTCGTTCGCGCGTGTGCTAGTGTAGTTTCGCACAAGACAGCGCGCGCGAGGGAAAGAGTAAGCTCGCACACACACACACACATATGCGTTAAGCAGGGAGAGAGAGAGAGAGAGAGAACGAGTACGAGGAGAGGCGAGGGGGGCCCAGAGAGCTCTGGCATATACACGCGCAGCGGCAGCAGCACCAACACCGAAACAGACAGCCAAGCGGCCAAGGCTCTATAACCCCGTGGTGCATGGCCCATAAAGGATTCGACGACTATACCGAGAAGTACGTCGCGCCACCACTGCAATTCGTGAGTCGGACCTTCTAATCGAGCACCTGCGCCACCCGAAAGTATCCTCTCTCGCTCTCGCGAATTTCTCTGCCATATATTCTCCAAGCATCGGAGCTTCTACTACTTGTCGCGCACATTCAAAACTGCCGTTTTCTCTCTTGCTCGCGCGCGACATATCCATTCCCGTTGATGTAATTTCGCAGTCGGCGTTGGCGGGTCAGCTGTGTGCGATACTGCGGTGCCGTCTTCGAGCCTACATACGTACCATACGCGCGTTGTTTTTTTTTTGTTGACGCCTCGTATCCCCGCGCTGTAATTCGATTCAGTTCATCATGTGTGTTCGACAGAGCAATATCGACATGAGCAAGAGCGCTCCGTCGCTAAAAAGTGATATTATCCAGGACTTGCAGTGATTTTGTTGTTGTTGTTGTTGTTAACGACATTGGGAAGACTCTCGACGTGGTTATCTGCATTCGCAGCTCAGTAATCAACGAAAAAGTGCGCGAAGTTTCTCGTGTTTGTTTTATCATTTTTGCAAAGTTTTGATTTGCAAAATCGTTCATTTGTTGTTTGAGTGCATTGTTTATACGACAAAGAGGCATCGAAGACATTGAAGACGATTGAAGACATTGCAAAGTGTGTACCGGGTAGCGCCTATTCGCGCTATGAGTTCGAAATTCATAATCGATAGCATGCTACCGAAGTACCACCATCCGTCTCATTATCAGTTGTTCCCCACAGCGGCTAGTAGTCACCAGGCGGCCTGTTCGGCAGCGGCAGCGGCAGTAGCCTCAGAGTCCAGTCTCAGCAACGCCGTAGCTGCAGCAGCGGCGGCCAATTACGCGCAGCACCAGCAGCAGCAACAAAGCTCGCCAAGCCCAACGGGCTCGAGCCCGCACTCGGCAAGCTCGGCCTCGACCTCACCGGCGGCCCGCGTCACCTCGGCCCAAAACACCTCGAGCAGCAGCGGCAGCAGCATGTATCCCTACGTCTCGGCCGCGGCCCACCACCATCATCAGCAGCAGCAGCAGGCCGTGGCCGCGGCCGCGGCCTTCGGGACCTCGAGCATGGTTCCGGGCTTCGGCTCCTCGGCCGCGTCGAACGCTGCCCTCGCCGCGGCTGCGGCCGTCGACTCCGCAGCCAACGATAAATCCTGCAGGTACACGGCTAGTTTAACGGGCAACGTCGCGCCCACCAGTAGCGATCCCATGGTCAACTATACCCTGGGCCATCACCATCAGAACGGAACGACACCCGGTAGTTTGGTGTCGTCGGCGCCGTCCTCGGTTTCGGCGGCCTCGGGACTAACGTCAATATCCAATATGGCCGTAGCAGCGCAGTTTTACCATCAAGCAACGGCGGCCGCTGGTGTTGATCCATTAGGCTCATGTCAACAACCCAGTAGTGTGCTTCCAGGAACACCTGAAATCGCACGCTACCCATGGATGACCATAGGTAAGTTACCAAGTTATTTTTACATTAATTACATTAATTATTTTGCTAGTTACGGGAAACGTCTACCAAAAACTCCATGTTGTTTTGCTTGTACAATTTTCATTTGTTCATTTTTAATGGTATAATATTTGCTTAATCCATTTAACAAGCTTTTCATTGATTTTTAATTTATATATAAAATACATTGAGTTAAAATAGTTGCAATAATTGAATGAACAAACTTTAGCGCCTTTATTAGTTCTTGTCAATTTCAGACATGCTCGTATTTAGAACAATGAATATGCCAAACAGCCAATACAATGGAAACTTTCTTATCGTTGTATTTAGAGTATGTGTTTTGTTATTTTACGGGATCGTTAACTTGAACTATAACAATCTGAGCTTCCGAATGCTTGCTGCTCCAACAATTTCATTTCAATTCAAATATCTACTTAAAATTATTACTTATTTAAAGCTAAATTTATTATATTAGTTGTGTTAAAATTGTTTTGTTATTTATTTATTGATAATATTTAATCATTTCTCTTCGGTTTAACCAAAAATGGCTGAATGAAAAGTATCTTCCAGGTTTATCCAACAATTTGCTTTCCGACGGCCGTCGATCGGTCAGCAGGCGTGGCTTGAGTCTAGTGGGTTGCTTGATTTGTTTTGAATATTCTTTCCAGTATAAAAACCAACAATTATTTTTAAAAATAAGCTTTTATTACAACAATATAAGATTTTAAATAAATAAAAATATAAATCGATTGCAAAAAGTTATAACGCAATTAAAATTACCATCGATTAGGTCTTGTAATTATTATGAACTAATATCTATAAAATACGGATTAAATCTACAGTAGGATTATCTAATAACCATACAGTTTTATGTAATATCACGCGTGGGATTGTCAGGAAATATAATTTCTCAAAAAAATTTTTTATTTGCAACTATAATAAAAACTTGTCAATGATTTAATCCAGTTGGGTCAAACATTCGTTTATTTCAACGACAGGTATACCTCATATAAATAAATTCCTATTTATAAAACAGATATTCGTGTTCAATCTTTTGAATTGGTTATCATTTCCTGAAAGCACCGTAAAATAACGACACTTCTATAGCACAATAACAAGCTAAATCACAATCATTGCAACTATTTTCTGGTAATATTTTCAAGCAAATTGTGACAAAATATCTTTTGATACTAGCTTCTTTTTAATGGCATGCACTTTTTGTAATTGATTTGCACTTTATTATAATGATTCAGCCTTTCAATTAACCTTAAAAAAATTATTGAAAATTCTTTTATTTAGTTGTTGCAATAAATTTTGCTGAAAATAACCTTTTTAAAACGTTCGAATTAAAAATAAAATTGTTCATATTTCAGACTGGATGAATCCTTTCGACAGAGTTATGTGTGGTAAGTATCAATTTTATTTCGCATAGTTATAAATCCCATAACATGTTTAATACACAATACCTCATCATAAATGAACATTCTTTACTAACCAAAAACACGTTGACTACGACAATGACAATAAACACCTAACTAGTCAATAACCGACAGAAAATAAATAAAAATAGATGTGGATCAATAAAACAGGACTATATAAATAATATTTTCCATTTAATTTCATAGTGCTGCATTGTTAATCTACATTTTTTATGTACTTTAGCCGATTATCGACTTGTGAGATAGTTTGAAAGAACTAATTAAACGTCGTTAATTTAAAAAACCTTAAATAAAATAATTTTATTATAACAAGTGACTAGTAGTAATCCTTACAATTGTACTCATTTTTTCTTCAAAATGAAAAATATTTTCAATGCATTTGTTTCCATGACTTCTATTTGAGCAACAGCGTTATGAATAATAATATTGATATCATCAACATTCATACCTTGAACTAAAAGCCAAGGACTTGCCTAGTAGATCCTCCTTGTGGACCATTAAAATCATATTAGAAACAACGTTGACATGGATCTTGTCAATTGCATTTATTGTGGTACGACCTCGAAATATTGAACATTAGCGAGTCATACAGTAGAGCGCCTAAATAAAAGTGCACTGAGCACATGACTTGGTTTTCTACTCGCGTTTCGCACGACTGTTTTTTTTTTATATCGACGATCACACGAGCATACGCGATGATATACCACGAGCATCGCCTTCGTGCACTGGAGCCAATTACGGTTGTCGTTGTTAACGATAAATGATCGTAGGAACACATCCTGGCGCCTGTCTTCTTATGGACTTTTGATGGCCTATCAGGCATACCAATAAGTGATAAATGATTCGCACTGGGAGACTCTACGTGTGCGTTTGCCCGACAACCGGTCGCACATATTATTATTTACGCATTGAGAAAGTTGAATGGAAAATCGTTTGATTGTTGACCTCTTGCAAGAGGTATCGATGTTAAATTTGACTTTTGGATACTACTTTCATCTCGATATTTAATCAGAATTCTTGAAAGAATTGTAATTAAAAGTATCATCTCAATCATTGGTACATATTTCATTGCTTCAAGGAATATTCAATATTCTAATTTTTATTTTGAAATTTTATTAATTTGATAGAGAACTTAACATGAATAATCGTGACCCAATCAACATTAAACATGGCTGATGATGAACAAAAACCATGGAACTCGAATAATTAAATGTCAAAAAACTATGTTGGTGGATAAGGCATGCACTTTTTCGTAAATACTTCTTTCATAAAGTTGAAATTTTTGTTTGGATGTCAGACCCGAAAATATCACTTTTCGCTAAGATAACAGAGGAATTTTTTTAATAGCAACTGATGGTACAAATTTATACATTTTTCAATTTCCTTCATTTTTATTTTCTCTTAACATTTTGAATGATGAACGTTTTTATTTGATGATTTCATTGTATAATGTGAAAAATTGCCAACGTTGAATTATTTTTAATTTTCATCTTGATTTATTGAACACGGAGTTTTTGGTAAACAAAAACTTTTGAACTTGCCGCGGCTACAATAAATAATTTCAGAAAAAATAGAAAGTCAGTCGGCAGGCATAGATTAAATAAACCCCTTTTGAGAGTCAAGTAATGACGTATTTCCTCGTAGCTAAAATTAGTAGTAAATGCACGTTGGTTAACATTCCTTAAATTATTACTATTGTATTCGTCACTGCAATTGTACGTTGTCGTATTCTCTCAAAGCCGCGTAGGGGAATGTGCTTATTCGTTTCGCGCTCTGAATCAAAATTTTATCTGTTGCTCATTCGAAGTCGGTACTTGAAACTAACCAATCAATGGCTCAGGCGTTCCTGTACTTCCTCTTTTTTTCGACGACGAAAATTTCTGGTATAAATAGAACTTTTGGACTAAATTTGGTATTTCCCATCATTTACGGATGTTTTCTCTTGCTCCAATGATTCATCGACTGAAAAAGTCGCGAGTTTTCAGCACTTTTGGTAAAAAGTTCAAAAATAGGGAGGAGTCACGCGGCGAAGTGTTCTGCGATACGTTGCGCGCCGTATTTACGGACGCGGAGTTTTTGGCAAAAAGCAAGGCGAGAGCGTGTATATGCAGTTGACTCGAGTGTATCCGAACAGAGAATTCCTCAGGCGCAGCAAAAATCCTGCAAGAGAGATAATGCATAATTTATAATCAAGCCGCCACACCAGTGCCTCCATTCTCTCTTTCTCTTTTAGCTAGCTTTAGCCTCGGCTAGGAGTCATACCAGCCCCTCATTAGCATTCGATGATGGCTGCTGCTGCTAGCTACGTCCCGCGTAAATACAAGCGTTATATCCCATTTCGAGCTCTTTCTCCCTCACTTCTTTGTGAGCTCCATCCATGCATATTATGCACAGCGTGTGTATGGGGTTTTTCTGACTTTTTTTTTCTTTTAAAATGTTCTCTTCGTTGCACCTACGCGCGAGTTTGCAACTCTCCGCATTTACCTGATTTCCTTTTTCATTTCCTAAAATGATTCGTTAAGACAGACTAGTGAGATGGAAAAGCCATCAAGAATAAACAAGCACTCCAACACCTGAGGCTATTGGTAAAACTAATTTGTATGCACTTTCGCTTCGCGCGGCGGTTTATTATCGGTGATTAGTAACTTTTTACGAATGAATTTGAAAATTCGATTGAAACGTCACGTTGCTTTATTGACTCATTATTTATCGTTATTGTTATGACGATACATTCACTCGATACGATAGTGAACTACAGTTTTAAACGGGCCTCGTGAGTTGGCAACTGTACAAGCTTTGCCGAATTATCAGCGCATGCGCTGAAAAGTCACTCAATAGTGGATGTAAGTTTTTTAATGCGATTCGCTCAATTTATAAGCTTATATTATTCCAAAAAAATACTTTTAATGGACACTTTAGAGCTCGTATCGGCTTTTCGTGCAACTTTTTCATTGTTCCGGTCTCCGATATAAATATAATCTAATAAATTCAAGAAGTCGTTGGAACGCTGGAAAAAGACCCATCGGCTGAGTCGCCTCGAGGAAATATGATTTTTTTTTTATTTTAAAAACGAGACGAGAGCGTGTCACGCGCGTTGAGACGTTAATCGACCGTTTCGAAAGCTTATACACATTCGGAACTCCAAAAGTAATGAATCGACAGGCCTCGCGCGCGCGCGCAAGCGCTTTGCTCGCACAAGGAAACATGCGCCTCGACGCGTAGAGCGAATATTATGGCTTTTCGCGGAATCGCGTCAAAGGACACCCATCGCATTTATCAAACTGTCGTCTACATCATGTTTGCGCGGCTCTTGGCCAGCTTATATGTGCCGCTAGAGTCATCGTATACGGCGGAAAAATACGTTTAATCGTGCGCTCGCTCGCGGCGTCGTTTCTTCCTTTTATCTCGAGCGCGCGCGAATATTGAATGTAAGTGTCGGGTTACCCGAGAATAATATCGAGACACTTCGCTATTGTGTCGTCGAATCTTCGACGACTCGAAGCTGCCACTCCGCGTAATGCACTTTGTACATATTCCATTAGAAATGGAAAGTTCGTGTCGATGAGAAAATTTTTATGCTAGGAACTGGACCGCTCAGGTTACACAGCGATGACAATTACGATTATTGGTAAATTGAATTTTTTCGAAACAGGTGAATGTCAGATTGATCTTCGACTTTTAATGAGGTAAACAATGAACTGGCACAAGAGTGGCGCCTCGAGTAAGCATAAGGAACATTTAATCGACTTTCTAGGTCACGAACGTCGCCGAGAAATCAGCCGCTATCTTGCTACTCGGGCGCCGAGTCAGATTACTATTGAAACTGCAATTTTATGAACCTTATAAGTACGCTTAATTGTCGCCGTTACGAGTGTTTATGCGATTCGAAGCTTCGAGCGCGTGTGAGGTGACGCGCGCTGAACCCCATCGCGCATACGCTAACGCATTTCATGCGCATGCACTTCTCATCTAAAAGTCATTCGACACTGACGTTTCCGCCCGTGGTATTTCGTCTCGGGCACAATAATAGACTAATTATTGAAAATTCATTCGATCGATCGATAAATGACATTGTCCAATTTTCCTCTCAATTTCCCAATAATTTGTATTTTTACTCTCACGCTCGCTTAGTTAAGCTAGCAACGGACATGCTTGTTAAGTGATTTTATTGATAGCAAATGTGCGCCCTAACTAGTACACTCGACATTTCTGAGACACATGTCTTTTTTATGTTTCGATTTTTTTGGGAAAATTAAATCAGACGCGATTATCGGTAACATCTGCCGGTCGTAAATTTCACGTTTATCACTCTGTTTTGTCTCTAACAGCTCACGCGCGCGCGTGGCTCGGCGCAAGAGTTGAGCCCCCCATCTGCATACTCCGATGTGGCTGTTGACTCTTTTTTGATCAGCTCTGATTTCCGTTTACTTAGTCAAAACCATCAGATGATACCCTATTTAATTAGTCACAGAATGCATACGCTTAATCCAATTTCAACTCTTTCAGTAAAAGTAAAATTTTGTAGACATGCCGTCCTGCCTTTTCGATCGCGTGGATCGATACTTTTTGATCGAGCTACAATCATCGATTCGAACTTTCACTTGCGCACTTACATACGGTCCACTATACTTTTGTCTTTCGCAGCAGGGGCTCTAAGAAATACGTTCAAATTAAGAGCTACAGTACGTCAGTGAGCTTTCCATCGAACGAAATGTCTTTTTCGAATATTTTTGTACAAGAGAAGATTTCAGTGCTCAAATGGTTGGCGGTACGGTAACACCTACACGCCACGCGCTGAGATTTATTTGTAAGTTTGTACTTACTCAATGCATACCTAATGAAATTTATCGGGATTGTCCGAGTAATTGAAATTTTTGAGGCAGTATTGAGGTTTTTTTTCTCTTAATGTTCGTTGGAATTCACGGCGATAAAATACGATTATCCTCACGTGCAGAGTCGTTACAGTA